TTATTTAAATTATATTTTAAAGTTTGACAATTATCACATACATGACTTTCATAGAAACGCGACTGGTGAACATGGAAACCTTCGTGTAACTTTTTAGTTAAATATGTGACAACGTCTGCGGTTTGTCTTCATAGTAACCATTATAAAAAAAAGCAAAACAATGTACTTTAATTAAAACCGTGTTGTCTTTTACGTTATTATGAAGGCATTCCGCATACTTAGACCTGGTGTACTAATTTATTTTTACGCTCACTTTCGCTGTGGCTTGCAGCATTGAAATTCCCAGGAATGAAGTTTTCCTTGACAGAAAACAACATGTCCCTTAACACATTTACAGTCATCGCCACGCCGCCCCTAAACTGTAAATGTCTTAACAAATTAAATACTTTTTTGAGTATCTATTTGTCGATTTAGGAATGAGTGACAAGATTGAAAGATTTCTTTCAAGCATTTAAAATTCACTCATTTCTCTTGACTGTGGGGTTCATCATTTAAAGGGACAAACCCCACGCTGTTATCTGAGCGTAGCAACTACCCACCGCAACTACAGCGCATGTCTATGCTATCTAAACTTCCTACCTGCGCATGGCACCGGAATTCCGCCCTGAAAAAGAATGCCCCTTGAAGGAGGTAACCCATCATGCCCTTAACTTAACCTAACCTAGTGCATGTTGCACCTACGGGTGACGTCCAACAGGGGTGGGTTGAACTACGCATGCATTATAGGGGATCCAGGAGTGCCTTAATAGTCACTGTAGAAAGCCGTTCATGAAGTCGGCCATCTACAACGACTGCATGCTTTTACCGTACTAGGGGAGAGATATTTTTCTTTCCACCAAAACCATCATCTTCCCTCGGTCTTCAATACGCCGTGCTCGCTTGATCCAGTCTTCAAAGGTCTTCTTACAGATGCAATTTGCATCCTCTACGCTAAGGTACCATTTGTACCCACTAAACCCAAGTTGAAGTTGCCTTCCTTGGGCCAAACTTCACTTGCATTTCCGATTCTAAGCTATGGTCCTGTCTATCCTTCTGCGAGGCAACAGCCGCTGCGATCATGCGTAGCTCCTTAAATCAGTATATTCACACAGAGGTTTTTCGAAGGTAAATTATACAGAACAAACACAATTGCATGCCAGACTTATAATACAACTTCACGCTTACTGATATACAAATTTTGAATGTAATTAAAGCAGAACCGAAAAACACAATAGTATTATTTCAACCGAAAGAACACTTTTATCACCTCTTAATCAAGATTATTTTTGAAAATGCAGATGTGAATTTCTTTAAATATGTTTATTTGCCTACCTGCATTAAAAAATAGCCTTATGTGGAATATGCTGAACACCAGGATTTGTTGTGGCTACTGCCCGAATTATATAAGAGATTTGACCTGTTAACAGGCCTAACTAAGTAAAAGGTTTATTATTATTACACTCACGGTTTTCGACGAATCCTCGGCAGTTTGACGACAGACTACGACTAACGACGAATCCCTTGCCAAGTATGAAGATGAAGTGATCGGATGCTGAGCACGGACAGCCACATAAAAAGCCCAAAATAATTTTTTAAAAGAATTCAGAACATTGATGGTAAACCATCGTATCCAATTCTCAGGCTACCTGACAAACATCCCCGCTTTTATGTCGACGACGGCAAGCACAGAAGCAAGATTGGCCATTTCTTGCAACTGTGCATGTCGTCTACGGCAGTAAATCGGAAATATCGACAGCCAGTCGGAAAATTAGGATTTTTAGGTTTTGTATTTTCATCTTAAAGAAATTCCATGTTTTTATTACGAAAATTTTCAATTAAATAATGTTGAAATTTAGGCGTTAGATAGTGGCGTGGTTTTATTCATCATTGCGATTGATAGACCAGTCGTGATCTTAGCGGGATAATGCCCACGAAAAATGTTTTTGAAAAGGTCATAATATTGACTTGTCCATGGAAATAGGCTTTAGGTTGATGGATGCATTGCTCAAGAATAGTGTCTAGAGTTTGCATTCTTTATAGAGATGACCTTTAGGACAATAGAAGTCACGTGTTTTTCAATGTCATTAAAGTATGTTGTTCATTCTTGATCATTGTTCATCAGAGGACTTCGCTGAAGTATATTGTCCATTCTTGATCATTGTTCAGAGGACTTCGCTGAAGGATATCGTTCATTCTTGATCATTGTTCAGAGGACTTCGCTGAAATATATCGTTCATTCTTGATCATTGTTCAGAGGACTTCGCTGAAGTATATCGTTCATTCTTGATCATTGTTCAGAGGACTTCGCTGAAGTATATCGTTCATTCTTGATCATTGTTCAGAGGACTTCGCTGAAGTATATTGTTCATTCTTGATCATTGTTCAGAGGACTTCGCTGAAGTATATCGTTCATTCTTGATCATTGTTCAGAGGACTTCGCTGAAATATATCGTTCATTCTTGATCATTGTTCAGAGGACTTCGGTGAAGTATATCGTTCATTCTTGATCATTGTTCAGAGGACTTCGCTGAAATATATCGTTCATTCTTGATCATTGTTCAGAGGACTTCGCTGAAGTATATCGTTCATTCTTGATCATTGTTCAGAGGACTTCGCTGAAGTATATCGTTCATTCTTGATCATTGTTCAGAGGACTTCGCTGAAGTATATCGTTCATTCTTGATCATTGCTCAGAGGAATTCATTAAAGTATATCGTTCATTCTTGATCATTGCTCAGAGGACTTCATTGAAGTATATTGCTCATTCTCGAGAAAATGGTCAACGACAGCCACAATTCTCTTCCACCGCTGTGAACAATAGTCATTTTCTTTAATTGCGGAATGAATACACCAACATTTGTTTGTTGTTTCTTAATCTCTATTCGTGATCATTTGTCGTTAAACAGAAGAATGTTCATGTCTAAAATTAAGTAAGAAGAAACAAAAGTTACAAGGACGAAAACTTAATGGAAAGGCCATACCGCACTTTGCCTAAACGAACATCACATGCACGTCTCAATTCAATTCGTACTCAGTGTAGTACAATTGTACTCAGAACAAGAAACAACACATTTACCTTTAAAGGGTTTCAAAGAACTCCAAGAAATATTTCAGCTACGAATAATTACGACTTCGGCCAACTATTCTTCGTACGTCTACCGACGTTCACGTTCAAATGGCATGTTCTTACGCAGTCCTAAAATATGGCTCAAGTATCACAAACGTGTTGTGTTCTGATTGGTCAGTGACTAGGTGTGTCGTAAACGTGTTGTGTTTTGATTGGTCAGTTACTAGGTGTGTCTTCAATTGTACATTGTGGCCATACAAAGTGCCTCAAAAAACTGCTCATCTTTGAAATCAGCTGAAATTTAGAATTATATGATTCATCACTTAGAAGTAATTAATCCCCATAGAGGGGTAAATACAATTGTATACAATATAAATAAATACGTATATTTCACCTACAGCAAACAGCAAATCCAAAATATTTACGTCTCCTTGGGGAATAACCACAGCTGAATCATGCAAATTCTAAATGTCGACCCAGATCAAAAATGATTTGATAAACCCTCTAGGTTGTCCATTACACCTCATTTTCTTATTGTATATATTAGCCAACGTTAACACTTTGATTTTGCAGTTTAGCGGACACATTGGATGCTGATCCAATAATAATTTTAAATCCTAATGTATTAATATATAATCCTAAATCCAAACCCTATAATCCAAACTAAAAACGAGCCAGCTCTCCGCATACAAGCGCTTCTCGTGTCTGCTAAACTGCAGTCTAGCCTTGATTTCTTTTAATTAGCTTTCGACAGGGTGTATATAAAAAATGACTTTTGGCAATTAAACTATCGTAAAATTTTAAAGCGCGATCACTATGCTAACCTCATTGGTGCATAATATTTCCAATGGGGAAAGAGCTTTTGTGCTTGCATCTACGTAGCTAACAACATTTTATGCATCTGTGGGCTTAAATAGTAACAGGCATTGAAATTATACGAAGGTCTTCAACGGTAAAGGAATGCCGGAAAGCAATTTTTGACCGTCTATTTAAACAATGTACGTGATAAAAAGTTACCTTGACAACTAAAGTGAACCCTCTTTTTCCTAAGTCTCAAGCATATGCAACACCACAAAATCATTCTAAATTAATCAAAATATTGTGAAAATCTTACAATTTTTTACCCATGCACAATCTTGCAATATATCAGGCAAGATCTTGTCAACATCTTGCAAAGATTTTGTCCATTCAAGTACTTGCAACATATTATGGAAGATCATGTCAAGATCTTGCTAGATTGTACTCATGCAAGATCTTTTAAAATATTACGCTAGATCTTGTCAAGGTCTTGAATGAGTAAAATTTTGCCCAACATCTTGCAAGATCTAGCATAAGTAAAATTTCGCCTAATATATTGCAAGATCTTGCAGTAACAAAATCTTGCCTAATAACTTGCAAGATCTTGCATGAGTAAAATATTGCCTAATATATTGCAAGATCTTGCAGTAACAAAATCTTGCCTAATATCTTGCAAGATCTTCCATAAGTAAAAACTTGCCTTACACTTTCAAGATCTTGCTAAAGTAAAATTTTGCCTCATATTTTGCATAATTTTGCATGAGGAAAATCTTGCCTAACATCTTGCACGTAATAGAAAAAGTAAATAGTGTATGATAAATACTTGGTACATATAGATACAATTGTACTAGGTATCTATAGTAGAGAGCAATCCCCATAGAGTGAAGAATACAATTATATCTATTATATGTCCTCATCCAAAACTCTGGATCACACGTTAGGTGCTTGAACTGTGTTCCATTTCATCTAGCTATCTTCAAGCTGGCGTCGTCGTTTCTTTTCTGTCACTCTTGATTTTGTTACATTCGTGGAAGTTTCATTTTCAAGTGTTTTTCTACATGTGTCACATATTTTACAAATTCAATATTTTACAAGAAAAACAGCAGGTGATTAAAATCAAGCACTTATTGAACATTCCAATTTCTTTATTATCAAGAAAAAGCAAAGACATCATGTAGATGGTTGCGTCTTCTTTAATCTTACTAAATCTGTTAAGGTATGTTTATTATAAAGTTTACCTATCAGAGTGTCATTGTTCGTTCTTATGTCTAGAATTTTGTTATATTTGTCTTAAAAATCCTGAATGTCATTTTCGTGGTGGAATTCGCACTTCATATGTTTTATATTGATACATCTGTTGATTTTGGTGGGATTTTCCCAATAAAATATTGGATAATTTATCATTTAAAATATTGACCTTTCTTGCATTATCACCAGCAATTTATTTTACTAATCTTTTCAATTATCCTTATTACGGCAGGGCTCAAAAATCAACAAGATGAATCAAAATTATGACACGTCAGAGAATTTCAGTTATGCATATCATCATGTGCAATAATTTTACCTTTAACACGACTTTTATCAAGAAGATTTTTTTCCTCATTCATATAGTCATCTATCTATTTATCTTATTCCTAACACAGATGACGACATAAAACGTTTTGCTAGGTATGTCTTTAGAAAATGCGCCTACTTGGAGTGAAAACTCATTTCTTCACGTGATAGTACACGTGATTTTTTTCTGGTCTATAATTGTTCAACTTGTTGTAAGATAGACTATTTAAAATATTTGTTTGCGTCAAAAGCTCACAAAATGACAAAACCTTGCATGATGAACTGTCAAGTTCAAACGCTATCAATTTTGAAGTATCTCTGATTACTGAGATGTGACAAAATTATTCAAATTAGAGACTACGAGATTAATTACTCTGAAATTCCTTTTTCAAATAAAGACTGCCCCTAAAATCTTAAGCACCCCAACTTTTACTTGCTTCTCACGCCCTTGATGAAATTATTTGTTTATCCAGATCAAATGTTTACAAAATGACAAAACTTCATTGACCACGTTTCAAAGTTGGAACGCTGACAGTTTCAGAGAAGGTGTTTATCGATTTTCTTAACTTCCTAAATTATAAATCTTTAATTTTTGAGCTATCTTACTTGTAAAAAGCTGGCTGCCCGGTCTTCCTTTATGATTATTTCAGTTAGTTTGCATGTAAGTCAGGATGTTCTATAATTGAAATAAATTATAGTAAACTGTGAAGGTTTATTTGCATAAAGCATCCAAGTCAAAACTTCTTTGTGTTTACTTCAGTCATTGCTAAAATAAAAAATTTGCATTTCATATTCTATTGGGTATGACCAGAATTTAATATTTTACAATAGAAACAGCAGGTGATTAAAATCGAGCATTTATTTAACATTCCGATTTCTCTATTATCAAGCAAAAGCAAACACATCATGTAGTTGGTTTCGTTGCTTTTAATCTTTTTGAATTTGTGAAGGTATGTTGATTTTAAAGCTTACTCGCCTTTATGTAATAGTGTACTTTTAAAACTCTGATTTAATGTTTCGTGTTCATGTATCAATTGTTTTGTTTTGATGTCACGAATTTGTAGTTAAATAAAACTTATAAATTAGTGCCACGTATGTTTTATATGGATAAAATTTCCTCATTTTGGTGGGATTTTCAAACACAGATAAATTTTGGATACATTACACGTGGAAAATACGACTTTTCTCACATCAATACCAATTTACTCCAATCGTTTATTTCAAATTATATTAATACAGCAAAGTTTATTAAATTAATGTGTTGAGTAAAAATAATGACACGTCAAAGAATGTTAGATGTCATTATGTGCAATAACTTTACTTTTTCTAACAAGGCTTTTATCATCACGTGTACAACATTTTATACAATATAGGACCAGAATATTTACATCGAAAGAGAGTATGAAGTTTATTATCTAGATGTTTACATTTCGCAAATTTTGCGTTATATATCTATAGAACAATTAGTTGATACAAATTTGCATGATCACTATTTTTGTGTTCTTTCTGTGTCTTTGTTGAAAGGCATTTTTGATATGAATAACATTTGTTGATTTTGATGGGGTTTTTTTAAACAATCACAAATAAATTTTAGATAATTTAACGTTGGAAAACACCGAACTTTTCAGCATCATCGCTAGCAATATGATGTAATAAATCAAATATTCCGATGGTTCATTTCAAATATTATTCATACAACAGGTCTAAAAAATCAACAAAATGAATCAAAATTATGACACGTCACAGAATTTCAGTTATGCATATCATAAATGTGGTATGATTTTAATTTTATCTAACACGACTTTTATCAAGAAGAATTTTTTTCCTCATTCATATAGTCATCTATCTATTTATCTTATTTCTAACACAGATGACGACATAAAAACGTTTTGCTAGGTATGTCTTTAGAAATTGAGCCTACTAGGAATGAAAAGCTCATTTCTTCACGTGATAGTACACGTGATTTTTTTTGGTCTATAATTGTCAACTTTTTGTAAGATAGACTATTTAAAATATTTGTTTGCGTCAAAAGTTCACAAAATAACAAAACCTTGCACGATGAACTGTCAAGTTCAAATGCTATCAATTTTGAGGTATTTCTCATTACTGAGATGTGACAAAAATATTCAAATTAGAGACTTCGAGATTAATTACTCTGAAATTCCTTTTTTAAATAAAGACTGCCCCTACAATCTTGAGCCCCCCAACTTTTACTTGCTTATCTCGCCCTTGATCAAATTATATGTTTATTCGGATGAAAAGTTTACAAAATGACAAAACTTCATTGACCACGTTTTAAAGTTGTCTAGAAATTTTTTGTATTTGTCATAAAAAACCTGAATGTCATTTTTGTTGTGGAATTCGCACTTCATATGTTTTATATTGATACATCTGTTGATTTTGGTAGGATTTTCGCAATAACACATTGGATAATTTATCATTTAAAATACTGACCTTTCTTGCATTATCACCAACAATTTATTTTACTAATCTTTTCAATTATCATTGGTACGGCAGGGCTCAAAAATCAACAAGATGAATCAAAAGAGACACGTCATGACACGTCAGAGAATTTCAGTTATGCATATCGTTATGGGCAATATTTTTAATTTTATCTAACATGGCTTTTTTAAAAAAGAATTTTTTCTTCATTCATATAGTACGCAGATTGCATGTGAGCTAAGGCCCTTTTATTTAAGCCTTTTCTTTCATGCTCCATCTCTTCCATATAACCTAATTCAGTAAACGTCTCTTTAGCTTTTTAATAATTGCTTATGCAAACGACCCAATGGAGTCAAGCTCAAATGCCTGACGGTCATTCAAACTTCATGGGATCCTTTGCCTCTATTCCAATAAGCCTATGCCACACCCAATTTATTTGTAAGAAACAGACACGTGGTACTGTCTTGTTGGTATAAATGTGTTGAGTTCGAGTTACTCGCCATATCTCTTTTCGTAATATACTCTATACCTTCAGTAACAACCACAAGTGATCTTTATGATCGAACTGATTTTTATTATTTTACAGAGCAGTATTTATAGTCTTTATTACAAACAACAAATATTATTATTGTTCGGAATAGTTCCTCAATTTAAGCTATATATAGTACATAAGGAAATTTAACAAACGTCAATAACTGTTCCATGGCTGTTAGCCGTGTGGGAACGGATACATTGGTAAACAAAACTACACACATACTTTTTCTTTAACATGTTTCTATGGTTTATAAGCATGACTCAACACCCCACTTGCTCATAAACTAAATTAACAAATTAATATCTATTTACCAGTCATAAATGTTTTGAATATACTTAATTTAATCTTACTTACAGCTTTCGTAAATATATCAGCCACATTTTCATGTGTTGCTACATACATAATTTCTATTTTAACAGCCCTTATTTCACTTCTGATAAAGTGATATCTAATATCTATGTGCTTAGACCTTTTGTGGTACATAGGGCTCTTTGATAAGTTAATTGCGCCACGATTGTCAACATTCAACAAAACATACTCGCCTTCCTTACAAATACGCAAATCAACACACAACTGTTTCAAAAATTTTGCTTCCTGAATAGCTTCAGTCAATGCCATATACTCAGCCTCACAAGTTGACAAAGCAACTGTAGATTGCTTCTTACTCCTCCAAGAAACCAAACCACCGTTCTCACTCAACCTGAAACGGTAACCTGAAATACTACGCCTGTCATCCGCATCGCCAGCCCAATCATAATCAGAAAAACCAACCGATTTTAAAACACTTTCACATTTTCTAAATGTAATTGTCTGATCTATTGTATCCTTTAAGTATCTAAGAACATGCTTTTCCTCTATTAGGTTTGCTTGTGTTGTTTTGCCATCTTTTGAGACAGCTTTGTTACAATAAAGCACAGATCAGGTCTAGTTCCTGTCATAACATATATAAGACTACCGACAATTTGTCTGTAAAGACTCGGATCTTCTAACTGAAGCGACTGATCATTCGACATTTTATTTGTATCGGAAGATGATGGAGTGGGTTTGGGTTAACACCCCGACATGCCTAATTTTGTTAGTAATTTAATAATATATTGCCTTTGACTCATTGCTATTTCACTTTCTGAGCATTTGAATTCAGTTCCTAAGAACCAGGACAATATTCCTACATCTTTCATCTTAAAACGGTCACTTAAGATTTTCTTGACACTGCATTAATGTGTCATTGTTAACAACTATGATAATATCATCTACCCCTACTATTAGAATAGTAACATCTTTTCCTGCAAATCGCGTGTAAACGGGTCGACTAATGATTGTTTGAAAGTTTTCCCGATTAAGTGTTCATGCAATAAGTTATTCCAATTCCTACCACTTTGTTTTAATCCATACAAAGACTTTTTCAACCTGTAGTATAGTAGATATGCTGGACTATTTTTATCATACCCTACGAAAAAACCTTGTTCACTTTTAGGGTCTAACTTTTTGGAATTTTGTGAATAACCATAACAAACACAACCAAAAACGTGCATTTTGTTCAAGTCGAATTAAAACAATGATTCCTAATATAAGCAGAAGCTATGACGGCATATGTCCACATGGATTTTGGTAGTTCCGCTTGTAGCAATAAACACCTAGTATACTATGTTAAATAAAGTTAACCACGTTCTCTCAACTGTGCCGTTCTGGTGTGACCAATATGGTGCACTAGTTTCATGCCTAATTTTGTTTTCCCTAAGAATCGATTTGAATTTCTCGCTTGTAAATTCAGTGCGTTATCACTTCATATGCGCTTCACATTTCCGTAAGGTGCAACATCTGCCAAAAACTGTTTTAATGCTTGTGGTGTATCGCTTTTATGCTTAAGAAAATAGACCATATTCAATCCTGAATAATCATCCACAAACGACAATGCATATCTAAGCCCTTCTCTTCCTTCCGAATCAATAGGACCTGCAAGATACGTGTGAAGAAACTCAAGAGTAATTTTCTCTAAATGTAATTTTCGTTTGACACATTTTACCTTGCGTACAAACCTCACACTCAACTTCCCTAAAGTCTGTGATTTTCATCCCCTTAACCACCTTCTCTAGTTTCTTAACATCCTTGTAGTTGCAGTGACAAAGAACCTTGTGCCACTCGTAAAGTGAACATGCATTTTTATTCGAAGATGATATGCTATTTATATAGTAAAGTTTCCCTTTTTGTCTTATTCCAAACGTTGTGCCATCAGGGCACTGAACATGCTTATCGTGTTTATCTAATTTGACTTTTACCTCCTTTTCTACAGCAGCATTTACTGGGAATATATTTTGATCGTAAGATGAAACATATAAGACATTACTTAGTAAGACATCCTGCGCATTTCCATGCAAGTCAACTAATTTGACATTAGAAGTACCTTTACCGAGTACAACGTTGGCTTTACTGCCATCTGCTAATTCAATAACATGCGCTTTACTATCAAATTTACTATCAAAATCTATAAATTTTGACTTATTGTTAATAATGTGACTTTTAGCTCCTGTGTTCACCATTAGAGTTAGATTCGCTTGATCCTTATCCTTCACGTCTGCTTCTGCGTTCTTTTTTTCATCCCTTGACACGAATAAAAAGGAGTGTTACCGTTCACTGTCACAGCGCTGCTCGTCTTTAGTTGACATGGACGTTTCTTTCGTCTTTCAGCAATCTTTCGTGTCGTGGGTCTTGGTCTTGCATATGGAGCACCACTTTTTCCCCTTCACTCGGCATTGTGAGCTTTTGTGTCCTTTTCTTCCACATTTGAAACAGTTTCCGTCATATTTTGGTTTCACATACATAACATTGTCACCTACCCACCTTGATATTTTCTTTATGTTTTCCTAACGAGTTTTTAAATTCCGTAAATGTCATTTGTCTTTCCCTTTGAACTGTTACGATAGCAAGACGTCGTACGTGCTTGGCAGACCCTTTAAAACCATTGCAATGAGTTGTGCATCACTTATTATCTCCTCGGCTTCTCTTAAGGTTGTTGCCGATCGTTCTGCTCGCAATATATAGTCTGTGACAGTCTCGTCGTCACTTTTCTTCAGCGAAGTGATTTCCGTGTAAAGAGCGATTATGCGAGGTTTTCCTCTGCCTTGATAGTGATTTCTGAGGATTTCTAAAGATCTCCGTCCATTGTCTTTTGCCTCCCGGATCACTAGAGACAAACTTCTGTCGTGCAGATATTGGACCAACTCTGCAAAAGCGTCAGCCAGTTTTGAAGCTGCTGGTTCTTCTCTCTCACTAGCTGATTCGATAAATACGTCGTACAGTTTTTAAAGACGCATATAGCAGAAGAATTTTACTTCCCATAACTCATATTTGCTTTCGCTTCCATCGAAAAGCAAACCTCCTCTGGGCCCATAACCTGTTGAGTTCGAGTTACTCGCCATATCTCTTTTCGTAATATGCTCTATACCTTCAGTAAAAGCCACGTGTGAAGTTAATGATCAAACTGATTTTTATTATTTTACAGAGCAGTATTTATAGTCTTTATTACAAATAACAAATATTATTATTGTTCGGAATAGTTCCTCTATTTAAGCTATATATAGTACATAAGGAAATTTAAATAACGTCAATAACTATTCCATGGCTGTTGGCCGTGTGGGAACGGATATATTGGTAAACCAAACTACACGCATACTATTTCCTTAACATGTTTCTGTGGCTTATGAGCATGACTCATCAAAATGTAAGACAAAATTTTTGAGCTTTTTTGTCATTTTCTAGATTTTCCAAAACATTTCATGTGTCTGGCATGTTTTAAGAAACTTTAAATGCATGGAAAGAAACACAATATGTAAATTTTACATTTTATTTCATTTACATTAAGTTTGCTTGTCGATTACATACAGAATGCTATAAAATGGTAATACCAGAATTTCCACAATATTTTACAGTGTGTAATTAATTTGTTTTTTAAATGTTCGCCTGGACACAGTCTCAATCTGCATTCTACACAACAAGAATGAATTTTTTGTTGTTTTTTTTCTTTCTATAAAACATGACTTACATGACATGTCCTATATTTTACATGATTTTTTATTGAAAAGGAAGAATACTTGAAAAAGTTCTCATGGTTCTCTTTACAATTAATTCTAGAAGCCAATCAGATCTTTTATAGGAAATAGGAATCTTTATATTTAAATGCAAAGGCTAAGTAACAGAACACTCTGCTTCATATATATTTCCATTAGACAGCGGACTAAGTAGTCATTGTATTCAAGTAAACTGCCTGCACAAACTTTGTGTGTCAGTTACACAAATTGTTAAACACCTTCCTAAGTGATAATATAAATCAGTACCTCCATTTTAACTCCAACATGCAGTGGCGTTGCTAAAGGGGGGTCTGGGAAGGGGGCACGTGCCCCCTAAAAATTTTAGATAAGAGTCTTCATATGCATCATTCGAAATTGAAAATGAAGCACATGGAATTAATGTAGCTCTTACGGAATTCGCACAACTTTACTGTAAAGGGAAGCATTCTATTAGCTGTGTAGACTAGTTTGCGTTGCATTTACCCTTTCTGTATTGTTAGCCGAGTGGTGAAGATTTTAATTTCTTAAAATTAAGAAAAACAAAACAATAATTCTATAATAATTCAAGTCTCTAGTGGGCAAGGAAGAACAAGTAATATTGTGATGCATGTCATGAACGACATTACACCATATCATAAAACTTGTATGAGATCGTGGACAAGTATACTCGTAGACTCAATTTTGTAGACACAAAAATACAAATATAGGGCCATTTCGCTAGCGACTGACGTGGTACAAATTTTGAGCCCACCCACTTGCAAAATCCTTGCGTCGCCACTACCAAATGGTGGGCAAATGCCTAAATGCAGGAAAACTAAAACGTCCAATTGCGTTGTTTTCAGCTGCCATCCTCGATATTTATTTACCCGTACAAGTAAAACTGTAACATTACGTAGCTATGATTGATCTTCAACAATTTTATAAAGTGCATAAAGTCTAATTAAAGAACAAATTTATGTTGATATTAATAATTTTATCACCCTTAGATGCAGTCAAGAGAAAAAATTAATAACTTCTACCTGCAAGAAATACTTACAGATGTTGTTACGAAGAAACTTGCTGATTTATTTATCCAAGAGTGGAACATTAATTACAAAAAATCCCACGGAGTATGGGATGATACAAACGTTAGTGGTCAGAAGTTGTTCAATATTGAAAAAACAAAAAAAAACCCTCATGACAAACATATTCTGTCAAAATTTCAAGATGGTGACACTAGTAATTGGGATTGTACAACACTATTTGCAGCAATATTGTTTTCAAATTCAATTGGAACAAAAATTGACCCAAAAGTTAGATCTGCCGTTAATGCACTTCGTATTGTAAGAAACAAATTTACCCATGATAATCCAGGAAGAGTATCTAAAACCGAATTTGACAAAATGCTTTGTGATATTGAAAAGTCATTTAAAGATCTACGATTTTCATTCAATGAAATTAATGAAATAAAATGTCAACGAAACAAATTTAATTCTTTCCAAGTACTTCCTTGCAAACCAAATCATGGCATTGTTAAACGTAAAGAATTACTCAATCAAATCACAGCAGATCTCAACAACTTGCGCAGTACTAACAATAATGAACTAACATATTACTATGTTTCTGGTAATCCTGGCAGTGGTAAATCTGAATTAGCTAGACAAGTTTGTGAAGAAATGTTTAAGTCGGTTGACTGGGAAAATAAAACAACATTTGTAATGACACTCGAAGGAAATGATGCAGAATCCCTTTTAAAAACTTATGCTGAACTTTGTCAACGCTTTAACAATGATAAAACTGTCATTGAAAATATTCTGAAAGAAGCAAAAAGCAGCGAAGACAAAATTAAAGATTTTCAATTATTGCTGACACAACAACTGAAATCTTGGCAAACATGGTGGATTGTTGTAGATAACGTGGTTGAACTTCATAAAATTTATCCATTATTACCTCAAGTTGGTGATCATAGCTGGAAAAATGGTCAAATTATAGTAACTGTCCAAAATACAGATGCTATACCACCAGATGGAAATTTACATAAACACATTTCAGTTAGTAATGGTATGAACAATGAAGAATGCCGACAACTTCTATCTGTCTTTTCTGATATTCATAATAAAGATGAAAAATTCTTAAAAGATTTATCAGACAAATTAGATCATCAACCGTTGTTCTTGTCAAATGCTGCTTACTACGTAGGTAGTGTAAATAGTGTAAATCCGACATTCACGTGGGAGCAATATTTTCATAAGTTGAATGAAGGAGAGCGACAGAACATGGATGCCAATTTTCAAAAAATAAACACATCATACTTAGGAATGAAAACTGTTATGTTAGCAGTACAAAAAAATGCCGGAGAATCCATTTTGTTGAAACATGTTTTTAAACTTTTCTCAATAATATCTTTCGATCCCTTACCACCAGATGTTATAATACCATTTATTAAAAGCATTGATCCACAAAAATCTGCAGAAGATGTCTGTCTTCAACTAAAGCATTGTTCTTTATTCCTTCAAACGGAAAACAACGACATCCGCCTGCACAGCGTTGTACACGAAGCCATCATAAATTATTCATCGCAGACCTTTGGCTGTAAAACAAACGAAAATAATTCTAAAAAGTCTGCAGCTGATCTTTCCTGTCAAGTTGCTAGGGCACTGAATCATTTTGAAGACAGAGAAGATGAAATCAAAATAACTCCACATCTAATTAAATTCATAACAAATTCATCATTTCAACATTTCCTTAATAAGTTGATCGATGTAAAATCATCAAAACAAAAACTTGATGAAAGAAATTGGGAATTTGCCATATATTTTGTAGATGTTTTGAAAAGATTTGGCAACTATAAACTTGCAATTAAAGTACTCTATGAAATAACAGAAATTCAAACAAAAGTGTTAGGCGTTGATCATATTGATGTTTCATATTCTTACAACCAGCTGGGTTTGTTGCTTTTGAATAACGGAGAATATAAAAATGCTAAAGATTTTCTTGAGCGAGCAATGAAAATTCAAGTAAAAACACTTGGACCTGACCATGTTAATAAAGCGTCAACGTACAACAATCTGGGTGGGCTTTACAGAGATATGGGAGAGTACAAAAAAGCAAAATATTTTTGTAAACGAGCGATGAAAATTGAAACGAAAGCATTTGGACCTGACCATGTTAATATTGCGACAACGTACAACAATCTGGGTTTAGTGTACAACAAGATGGGAAAGTACGAAAAGGCAAAAGATTTTTATGAGCGAGCGATGGAAATTGAAACAAAAGCCATTGGACCTGAAAATGTCAATATTTCGACCACGTACAACAATCTGGGTTGGGTTTACAGTGAAATGGGAGAGTACGAAAAAGCGAAAGATTTTTATGAACGAGCGATGGAAATTGAAACAAAAGTATTTGGACCTGACCATGTTAATATTACGACAACGTACAGCAATCTGGGTTCGGTTTACATTAATATGGGAGAGTACAAAAAAGCAAGAGATTTTTATGAACGAGTGATAGAAATTGAAACGAGAGCATTTGGACCTGACCATGTTAATATTGTGACAACTTACAAGAATCTGGGTTCGCTTTACAGAGGTATGGGAGAGTATGAAAAAGCAAAAGATTTTAATGAACGTGCGATAAAAATTGAAACGAAAGCATTTGGACCTGACCATGTTAATATTGTGACAACGTACAACAATCTGGGTTTGGTTTACTATAATATGGGAGAATACGAAAAAGCAAAAGATTTTTGTGAACGAGCGATGAAAATTGAAAGGAAAGCATTTGGACAAGACCATGTTGACATTGCAAAAACGTACATAAATCTTGGTTTGGTTTACGATAAAATGAGAGAGTACGAAAAAGCAAAAGATTTTTATGAACGAGCGATGAAAATTGAGACGAAAGCATTTGGACCAGACCATGTTAATATTGCGACAACGTACAACAATCTGGGTTCGGTTTACTATAATATGGGAGAATACGAAAAAGCAAAAGATTTTTGTGAACGAGCGATGAAAATTGAAAGGAAAGCATTTGGACCAGACCATGTTAATATTGCGACAACGTACAACAATCTGGGTTTGGTTTACAGAGATATGGGAGGATATGAAAAAGCAAAAGAATTTTGTAAACGATCGATAAAAATTGAAACAAAAGCACTTGGACCAGACCATGTTAATATGGCGACAACGTACAACATTCTGGGTTTGGTTTACAAAGATATGGGAGAGTACGAAAAAGCAAAAGATTTTTATGAACGAGCGATGAAAATTGAAACAAAAGCATTTGGACCAGACCATGTTAATATTGCGACAACGTACAACAATCTGGGTTTGGTTTACAGAGATATGGGAGCGTACGAAAAATCAAAAGATTATTATGAGCGAGCGATGAAAACTGAAATGAAAGCATTTGGACCTGACTATGTTCATATTGCGACAACGTGCAAAAATATGGCTTCGATTTACAGCGATATGGGAGAGTACGAAAAAGCAAAAGATTTTATGAACGAGCCATGAAAATTGAAATGAAAGCATTAGGACCTGACCATGTTGATATTGCGACCACGTACAACAATTTTGGTTCGGTTTACAGAGATATGGGAGAGTACGAAAAAGCAAAAGATTTTTGTAAACGAGCGATGAAAATTGAGACGAAAGCATTTGGACCTGACCATGTTATTATTGCGACAACGTACAGCAATCTGGGTTCGTTATACAGAGTTATGGGAGAGTACGAAAAAGCAAAAGATTTTTATGAACGAGCGATGGCAATTCAAACAAAAGCATTTGGACCTGACCACGTTAATATTGCGACAACGTACAACAATCTGGGTTGGGTTTACAGAGATATGGGAGAATACCAAAAAGCGATAGATTTTTGTAAACGAGCGATGAAAATTGAAACAAAAGCATTTGGACCTGACCATGTTAATATGGCGACAACGTACAACAATCTGGGTTTGCTTTACAGAGATATGGGAGATAACGAAAAAGCAAAAGATTTTTGTGAACGAGCGATGAAAATTGAAACAAAAGCATTTGGACCTGACCATGTTAATATGGCGACAACGTACAACAATCTGGGTTTTCTTTACAGAGATATGGGAGAATACGAAAAAGCAAAAGATTTTTATCAACAAGCGATGAAAATTGAAACGAAAGTATTTGGACCTGACCATGTTAATATTGCGACAACGTACAGCAATCTGGGTTTGACATACAGATATATGGGAGAGTACGAAAAAGCAAAAGATTATTATGAACGAGCGATGAAAATTGAAAATTTGAACCTGACCACGTTAATATTGCGACAACGTACAACATATGACAGATATGGGAGAGTACGAAAAACAAAAGATTTTGAACGAGTTGAAATGAAAGCATTGGACCTGACCATGTTGAAATTGCGAACGTACAACAATCTTGGTTCGGTTTACAGAAATGGGAGAGTACGAAAAGCAAAAGATTTTTGACGAGCGATGAAAATATTTGGACCTGACCATGTTATTATGCGACAACGTACAAATCTGGAGTTATGGGAGTACGAAAAGCAAAAGATTTTATGAACGAGCGATGGAAATTCAAACAAAAGCATTTGGACCTGACCATGTTAATATTGCGACAACGTACAACAATCTGGGTTGGTTTACAGAGATATGGGAGAATACCAAAAGCGAAAGATTTTGTAAACGAGCGATGAAAATTGAAACAAAAGCATTTGGACCTGACCATGTTAATATGCGACAACGTACAACAATCTGGGTTTGCTTTACAGAGATATGGGAGATAACGAAAAGCAAAAGATTTTGTGAACGAGCGATGAAAATTGAAACAAAAGCATTTGGACCTGACCATGTTAATATGGCGACAACGTACAACAATCTGGGTTTTCTTTACAGAGATATGGGAGAATACGAAAAAGCAAAAGATTTTTATCAACAAGCGATGAAAATTGAAACGAAAGTATTTGGACCTGACCATGTTAATATTGCGACAACGTACAGCAATCTGGGTTTGACATACAGATATATGGGAGAGTACGAAAAAGCAAAAGATTATTATGAACGAGCGATGAAAATTGAAACACGAACATTTGGACCTGACCACGTTAATATTGCGACAACGTACAACATAATGGGTTGGGTTTACAGAGATATGGGAGAGTACGAAAAAGCAAAAGATTTTTATGAACGAGCCATGAAAATTGAAACGAAAGCATTTGGACCCAACAATGTTAATATTGCGACAACGTACAACAATCTGGGTTCGCTTTACAGAGATATGGGAGAGTACGAAAAAGCAAAAGATTTTTATGAAAGAGCGATGACAATTCAAAAGAAAGCATTTGGACCAGACGACGTTAATATTGCGACAACGTACAACAATATGGGTTTGGCTTACAAAGATATGGGAGAGTACGAAAAAGCAAAAGATTTGTATGAACGAGCCATGAAAATTGAAATGAAAGCATTAGGACCTGACCATGTTGATATTGCGACAATGTACAACAATCTCGGTTCGGTTTACAGAGATATGGGAGATTACGAAAAATCAAAAGATTTTTATGAACGAGCGATGGCAATTCAAACAAAAGCATTTGGTCCTGACCATGTTAATATTGCGACAACGTACAACAATCTCGGTTCTGTTTACAGAGATATGGGAAAACACGAAAAAGCAAAAGATTTTTATGAACGAGCGATGAAAATTGAAACGGAAACATTTGGACCAGACCATGTTATTATTGCAACAACATACAGCAATCTGGGTTCCTTTTACAGAGATATGGGAGAGTACGAAAAAGCAAAAGATTTTTATGAACGAGCGATGAAAATCGAAAGGAAAGCATTTGGACCAGACCATGTTAATATTGCGACAACGTACAATAATCTGGGTTCGTTTTACAGAGATATGGGAGAGTACGAAAAAGCAAAAGATTTTTATGAAAGAGCGATGACAATTCAAAAGAAAGCATTTGGACCAGACGACGTTAATATTGCGACAACGTACAACAATATGGGTTCGGTTTACAGAGATATGGGGGAGTACGAAAAAGCAAGAGATTTTTCTAAACGAGCGATGAAAATTGAAATGAAAGCATTAGGACCTGACCATGTTGATATTGCGACAACGTACAACAATATGGGTTCGGCTTACAAAGATATGGGAGAGTACGAAAAAGCAAAAGATTTGTATGAACGAGCCATGAAAATTGAAATGAAAGCATTAGGACCTGACCATGTTGATATTGCGACAACGTACAACAATCTCGGTTCGGTTTACAGAGATATGGGAGAGTACGGAAAATCAAAAGATTTTTATGAACAAGCGATGGAAATTGAAACAAAAGCATTTGGACCTGACCATGTTAATATTGCGACAGCGTACAGCAATCTGGGTTCGATTTACAATGATATGGGAGATTACAAAAAAGCAAGAGATTTTTATGAACGAGTGATAGAAATTGAAACGAAAACATTTGGTCCTGACCATGTTAATATTGCGACAACGTACAACAATCTGGGTTCCGTTTACAGAAATATTGGAGAGTACGAAAAAGCAAAAGATTTTTATGAACGAGCGATGGCAATTCAAACAAAAGCATTTGGTCCTGACCATGTTAATATTGCGACAACGTACAACAATCTCGGTTCTGTTTACAGAGATATGGGAAAACACGAAAAAGCAAAAGATTTTTATGAACGAGCGATGAAAATTGAAACGAAAGCATTTGGACCTGACCATGTTAATATTGCGACAACGTACAACAATCTGGGTTGGCTTTACAGAGATATGGGAGAGTACAAAAAGCAAAAATTTTATGAACGAGCGATGAAATTGAAACGAAAGCATTTGGATCTGACCATGTTAATATTGCGACAACGTACAACAATCTGGGTTGGCTTTACAGAGATATGGGAGAGTACAAAAAAGCAAAAAATTTTTATGAACGAGCCATGAAAATTGAAATGAAAGCATTAGGACCTGACCATGTTGATATTGCGACCACGTACAACAATCTGGGTTCCGTTTACAGAGATATGGGAGATTACGAAAAATCAAAAGATTTTTATGAACGAGCGATGAAAATTGAAACGAAAGCATTTGGAACTGACCATGTTGATATTGCGACAACGTACAACAATATGGGTTGGGTTTACAGAGATATGGGAGAGTACGAAAAAGCAAGAGATATTTGTAAACGAGCGATGAAAATTGAAATGGAAGCCTTAGGACCTGACCATGTTGATATTGCGACAACGTACAACAATATGGGTTCGGTTTACAAAGATATGGGAGAGTACGAAAAAGCAAAAGATTTTTATGAACGAGCGATGGAAATTCAAACAAAAGCATTTGGACCTGACCATGTTAATATTGCGACAACGTACAACAATCTTGGTTCTGTTTACAGAGATATGGGAAAACACGAAAAAGCAAAAGATTTTTATGAACGAGCGATGAAAATTGAAACGAAAGCATTTGGACCTGACCATGTTAATATTGCGACAACGTACAACAATCTGGGTTGGCTTTACAGAGATATGGGAGAGTACAAAAAAGCAAAAAATTTTTATGAACGAGCGATGAAAATTGAAACGAAAGCATTTGGATCTGACCATGTTAATATTGCGACAACGTACAACAATCTGGGTTGGGTTTACAGAGATATGGGAGAGTACAAAAAAGCAAAAGATTTTTATGAACGAGCGATGAAAATTGAAACGAAAGCATTTGGAACTGACCATGTTGATATTGCGACAACGTACAACAATATGGGTTGGGTTTACAGAGATATGGGAGAGTACGAAAAAGCAAGAGATATTTGTAAACGAGCGATGAAAATTGAAATGGAAGCCTTAGGACCTGACCATGTTGATATTGCGACAACGTACAACAATATGGGTTCGGTTTACAAAGATATGGGAGAGTACGAAAAAGCAAAAGATTTTTATGAACGAGCGAGGAAAATTGAAACGAAAGCATTTGGGCCTGACCATGTTAATATTGCGACCACGTACAACAATCTGGGTTCGGTTTACAGAGATATGGGAGAGTACGAAAAAGCGAAAGGTTTTTATGAACGAGCGATAGAAATTGAAGGGAAAGCCATTGGACCTGACCATGTTAAGACTGCGACAACGTACAACAATCTGGGTTCGGTTTACAGTAAAATGGGAGAGTACGAAAAGGCAAAAGATTTTTATGAACGAGCGATAGAAATTCAAACAAAAGCATTCGGACCTGACCATGTTGATATTGCGACAACGTACAACAATATGGGTTTAGTTTATAGAGATATGGGAGAGTACGAAAAAGCAAAAGATTTTTATGAACGAGTGATAGCAATTCAAACGAAAGCATTTTTACATGACCATGTTAATATTGCGACAACGTACAACATAATGGGTTGGGTTTACAGAGATATGGGAGAGTACGAAAAAGCAAAAGATTTTTATGAACGAGCCATGAAAATTCAAACAAAAGCATTTGGAACTGACCATGTTGATATTGCGACAACGTACAACAATCTGGGTTTGGTTTACAGAGATATGGGAGAGTACGAAAAAGCAAAAGATTTTTATGAGCGAGCTATAGCAATTCAAACAAAAGTATTTGGACCTGACCATGTTACTATTGCGACAATGTACAACAATCTGGGTTTCGTTTACAATAAAATGGGAGAGTACGAAAAATCAAAAGATTTTTATGAACAAGCGATGAAAATTGAAACAAAAACATTTGGACCTGACCATGTCAATATTGCGACAACGTACACCAATCTGGGTTCGGTTTACAGAGATATGGGAAAGTACGAAAAATCAAAACATTTTTACGAACAAGCGATGAAAATTGAAACGAAAGCCATTGGACCTGACCATGTTAATATTGCGACAACGTACAACAATCTCGGTTCGGTTTACAGAGATATGGGAGAGTACGAAAAATCAAAAGATTTTTATGAACAAGCGATGAAAATTGAAACAAAAACATTTGGACCTGACCATGTTAATATTGCGACAACGTACACCAATCTGGGTTCGGTTTACAGAGATATGGGAGAGTACGAAAAATCAAAACATTTTTACGAACAAGCGATGAAAATTGAAATGAAAGCCATTGGACCTGACCATGTTAATATTGCGACAACGTACAACAATCTGGGTTCGGTTTACAGTAAAATGGGAGAGTACGAAAAAGCAATAGATTTTTATGAACGAGCGATAGAAATTCAAACAAAAGTATTTGGAACTGACCATGTTGATATTGCGACAACGTACAACAATCTGGGTTTGGTTTACAGAGATATGGGAGAGTACGAAAAAGCAAAAGATTTTTATGAGCGAGCTATAGCAATTCAAACAAAAGTATTTGGACCTGACCATGTTACTATTGCGACAATGTACAACAATCTGGGTTTCGTTTACAATAAAATGGGAGAGTACGAAAAAGCAAAAGATTTTTATGAACGAGCGATAGAAATTGAAACAAAAGCATTTGGACCTGAACATGTTAATATTACGAAAAAGCAATCACGTTGTAATTTACTGTGATTTACTGAATTTATTGAAAAACATGAAAAACCAACACATTTATTTGAACCTTTAAGGCTATCATTGATATATGGAAATCTATACTACTATTTATTATTATCCTTTGATTGGAGAGATAAGAAAAAAGCTCATGGTGAAATTGCTTGAACTGTAATTTAAAGTAACAAATAGAAAGATGGTGATCAATAAGATAAAGGCTTATAAATGTACATCGAAATGATCATCAAATCATTTGTTAAATATCATACTTGTCATACAAAGAATATAAAAATCTGGACGAACTTACAGCCAGCTATATCATTGCTTATTTTTTCATTAAATTTTTTTATTTTTTTCATTTTCTTTAATATGTTCAAGGATTTTTTGAGCACGATGAAGACCACTAAAATAAGCACCGTGTACATAACCATTATACAACTCATCAGTAGCTTCTCCAGCAAAATACATACGAGATACATTTGATTGTAAAGCTTTGTAATCTTCATCACTAAATCCTATTGGATCAATTGAATAACAACCAGCAAACAAAGGATAAAATCTCCATCTGTGATAATAAATATCAATAGGATCTGGGATGTCCAAACCATAAACACTAAGTAATATCGTCATGATTTCTTCTTGTGTTTTCTGTTTTCTTTGATATTGTATTCTTCTGCCTCTTCACCAGTAACTGTGATAATAAGAATATAAATTCTTTGATCTTGCACACCTGCATTAATCTCGAAATTCTGCCACATAGGATAATACCCTCCTCTATCACTTGAATAAAATATATACTGTTTTTCATCCAAAAATTTATGTGGAAACTTTAGGAATATTTTTATGTAATCAGCCATTTCGATCTTCTATAATGAGTCAAGGAGTCTTGAAGGAAGGTCAGGTTTAAATTTAACAAATTCATTTTGTAATACTCCAATACTGAATGCAACAAGAAAATAATCTGCAGTATAAATCTCACCACTCTCAGTAAAGACTTGAACACCATTTTCACTCCATGATATGTGATTGACATGTTGAGCAAATACTAACTTAGGAATGTCAGATTCATGCAGGAAAGATTGAGCAATTTCTTTAACTATTAGGGCATATCCTCGTAGGTCAAATACAAAATACTGAGTTCTACAATCGGAATCAATAATGCCAGTAGATTTCTTAACTCCTGTAGAAATATACTGTGGTTTTTACACCAGCATCAAAATCTTCATAAAAAATATTCAAGTACTTCTTGAGCTGGATTTTGTGGATACCAACCAGAAAGTCTTAAACCAGTACATTCATCAATGTCAGTCATATTTGCTTTACGTCTCTCATCAATATTGTCACTTAGTAAATCACTTGCTTTCTCAAACTCTGCACGACCGTCTTGATTGGTAACATCTTTACCAACTTGATCACAAACTATATAATACCCAGGCTTAGGAACAGCCATTGTATAGTTCCCTTTGAGATTGTATTTTTTAGCTAATTCCCAATTAGGATTGTTCTTAGTGCCTTCAACCCAATTAGCACCGAGCTCAATTGTCGTATTTTGAAATGTTGTAGTTTTCATTCACCCACTAACGCGATGCCAAGCTTCTAATATCGTAAAATCATCTATGCCAGCTTTGTAAAATGTTTCTGCAGCTTTTATTCTAAACATTTCAGCACCAAGAATCAATATTTTAGAGTGATGGACATTTTGCGTTTCTTTTATAGCTACAGTCAAGTTTGACAAAAAAACTCCAACTGTTAGAAACAGCTTTAATATTCTTTGGTAGAGCTTACACTGTGCCATTGTTTTTTGTGGAAGGTAAATTTCTTACAGTGTTGAAAGATGAATTTTAAATAAGTTCATGTCGGCATGTTCAAAATTTCACATATTATCCAACAATGTTCACAAATCGACAAAAATTGTATAATTTGCACAAAATGAATGAAATAAGCTAAATCACATGTAAATTTATAATGATGCGCATTGCAAATTTGTACAAAATAACAAAAAAAAGAAGAAAAACAATTAGTTAGTTCAATTCTGATTCGTCGCTTGAGTCAGAGTCTTGAGCATAAAGAATGTTGGTTGTCATATGACTTAAAGCATTGGTTGAAGGAGAATATTTGAAACAGCCTTCTGACTCTTTCACTCCTTGCTTAACTTTTAAATTACCGCACACTGACTTTGTGTGCAACCTATTTCTTCCTTTAGTTTTGATTGCATTCACAGAAGAAAAATTTCTCTTCACATCAACATTGAAGGATGAATTATGCTTTGTCTCGAATCTCTAAACCAGTGTATATTCATTGTAAACAACCTTGTCTTTTATAACTGATGAGTTCATAAAAAGTTTTTAATTTTTAGTAAAAGTTCATGAAATGTTTACAAAGTTCTTTTTGTTCACAATCTGGCAACACTGATTTCTTAAAAACTGAGAAGGTCACGTGACAAGCGAATGGAAAATGTCAGAAAATCTGGCCGACAAATCGCTGTGTGTAAGCGTACCTTCACAGTGAACGAAGAAAATAATTTGAAAGATGTTTTCCAGTAAATTTTATCTTGCACACAAAAATCAATAACCAAAAAATTTTTTGAATTACAAACGAAATAATTTATACGAACATCTGAATTTAATTCATTAAAAAACAATAAAATGTAAAAAACTTCTTTTTAGTTATTTTTATTATAACTCTAGGAAAATGAAAATGACATTATTGTCGGATATATTTTGTTTGCTATGGGCCATTCTCTCATTTGTTTTTTGCAATTTAAATTTAATTTGAAAATAAAAATAGCACTTAACAGATGGAAATTGATAAAACATCTAAAAAATATTCCTATCACAAAGAAAATTGAAACACAGTATTTGCAAGTTAAATCATTCAAATACTTTCAAATTGCCAAAATCAAACGTCGTCAGAAGAGACACAAGAAATGAATTTGTGAAAATATATGAACAATAATGACGGACATAGGTAGGTTGTGTGGTAAGATATAAAATATAAAATACCATCTTATTCCCGACAAGATATTTCGTCGTAATTATAACTAAAGAAAGTATAAGATAACTGTGCTAATTATAATACATATGAGCTAAAATTTTATGGCGGTAATTGATATCTCGGTCTACTGTATCACAAAATGCTTTTCAATTTTCATAAACCTTCGCTAAATGTAAACTACATTTATCTTAACTGAGTTTTTGTTCATAGTTGTCGAGACTTTGTAAATTCAACTTAAAGAGAAACATATGCATCGAAGCGTGAGCTAATTACATCAATTTGGATGATTTTCTTGTTGGTCAAAAACATAGCGTCAAACATTTAGTTCTTTCTTGTAAAGTTTATTCCCTATAGATTAAGCAGTCTTAACTTGCGAATGTGAAAAACAGAAACTCTATAAAAAATCGATGTAACTGATTATTTTTGTTGTGCTATATTATTGAGTCAGGTTTCTATATAAGATCAGTAACGTATAGCGACGATGTCGTTTATGTAGCAGAGAAAGGGAAAGTCACATGACCATATGGAAAGCACACTTAAATTAAATAATTGTATTGTTTAGATGAAACTATTTGGTATGAAAAACCAATCACTCTCGTTGCATTTGCCGCTGGATTTCTGTTATTGATAATGGCAACTGCTGGCGTCAGAATGCTTTGTTTTTAAGAAATAATAATGAAGGGATCAATGATGGATATTCCACATCATATTGCTATAATAATGGATCAACATACTCATCCAAGACACCTGATGTGTATGAGAATCAATCATTTACATCGCTAGATGAGTACAACATGAATCAATTTTCACCGCGACATTCCCGAGCACAATTGTCACCATATCTGATGGGAATAATCATGGATCACAAAAAGGATTTCAAACATTTTATACCACACCGTTACACGAATCAAAAGCATAACAGTAAATTTTGTGTTTTTGTAAATGTTTATATAGAGACAATGATCTTATAAAGCACTATACCACAATAAAATAATTCTGGTATAAATTTGACTAAAAATATGACATGTACTAGATTAAACAACGTTGACAATGGCACATTTATAAAATACCCTGAAACAAAGACAGTCAGAAAGAATCAGGAAAGGTTATGATTAAGAAAAGACTATGTTTGGGTCAGGAATGCAGGTAGTTTAGTAAGTGGATGAAACGATATTCAATAATACATCCTCTTATTACTGTTACAATAGATAGACTAAATATTGCAACAGAAATTTTTAATGAACCATCAATCTACTACAATCAAGGATGTTTATAAAATCCTTCTTTCTTACCCAAACTTTTTGTTTGTAAAAATATTAAAGGAAAAAATCTTCTGAATTCATTGTATTTGTTTGTTTTACTTCAACAGATCTTTCATTTTGTTGGTAACTTTCTTTGTCTTCTTCTAACCCCAGCTCCCCCTTCCTTAATAACAATCCTTCTAGACACAACCCCTACCTCCTTCCTTACAGACAATCCCTACCTCCTTCCTTGCAGACAACCCCTACCTCTTTCCTTAATGACAACTCCTATCTCCTTCCTTACAGACAAATCCTACCTCCTTCGTTACAATCAACCCGTACCTCCTTCCTTACAGACAACCCCTACCTCTTTAGTAGTATAGTACATGGGGGTTCTAGCGCACGAAAAGTGCGCTATAATCCCCCATGTACTATACTACGTATAACCTTGGGTAAAAACTATTTTTATAACAGCTTAAAATAAGACCATGGTTCAAAAGGCGTCCCTCAGTAAAAGGTCATGTAAGAAAGCTGTATGAAAAAAGTCATTGTTTCAAAGGTAAAATTTGGAATCTATATGTTTTAAAAACGGTCTTTACAAACAAATGTTAACAAGCATCGTTTCGAGAGGGCTCGGCAGCGCAGAGCACTTCGTGCTCGAGCAGGGAATGGAGCCCTCGAGAATTCTGCTGATTTATGGAAAATTTTCACGAAGTGAAATTGAGCGCCCCCTGCATTCGAAGAATATTCGAAGAATATTCGAGAATAACAGAGGCTTAAGAAATGCTCTTCAAAAAACCGTCTTTAATAATCAAATGTTAAGAAAGCATTGGTTTTGAGGGGGCTCGGCAGCGCAGATCACGAAGTGATCGAGCAGGGGATGGAGCCCCCGATAATTCTTAGGCGACGTTGGGAAAATTTTTCACGAAGTGAAAAATTGAGGTCGCCTCCCCATGGATTCGATGAATATTCGAAGAATATTCGAGAATAACAGAGGCTTAAGAAATGCTCTTCAAAAAACCGTCTTTAAGAATTAATTGTTAATAAAGCATCGGTTCGGAGAGGGCTCGGCAGCGCAGATCACGAAGTGATCGAGCAGGGGATTGAGCCCTCGAGAATTCTAGGCGACGGTGGGAAAATTTTTCACGAAGTGAAAAATTGGGGTCGCCTCCCCGTGGATTCGAAGAATATTCGAAGAATATTCGAGAATAACAGAGGCTTAAAAAATGCTCTTTTACAATCTATCGTTTAAAAATATGGAATCTATATGTTTTTGAAATATATAGGTGCGTTTAAATTTTAAAAACTATCTTTAGAAATCAAGTGTTAACAAGGCCCTTCCAGGAGGCTGTCAGGCGCGTGTCTTAGTGCATGTTCTTAACAATGGTTGTTTAATGTAATAGCACATTTCATCAGCGCATGTATAATAATACAATGTTTTACAAAATATGGAATCTATATGTTTTTTTAATTTGTCTGTCAAGCGAGTGTCATATAATTTTTGTTAAAATTGTTTTTAATAATTGTTTCAGGATTTTGAATCTTTTTGTATATCGCTTTTGTATTAATTACTTATTACAAACAGTTATTAGTCAAACATGAGGAGCAGGTATGTATGATTTTACTCTAACAGAGGCCCACGCTACATGCTTACTACACATTATAACTGTATATTAAAATAAGTTTTAATTATCATTTAAATAATGACCATAAGCTCTAGTAGTTTTACCATTATCTAATATATACCGTTTATCATCAAAACAGCTAAGTGATACTTTATTAATTTCATAACTACTAAGTTGATGGTTTACACTTCTAATAGTTTTCATTGTATGATGTATTTGTTTATTTTCAAATAGTGTTTGTTTATAGTCTTCATGTTTTATTTTGTTTTTAATAATATTTTTCTTAATCCCTTTAGCTTTCTTATCTCCTTTATTATTATCTTTAATATAACTATACATCTTACTTCTTAAACCAATAAATTCTTTAATTATATTTCCAGCAGCTTCATCTTTCATTTTACCAATAACTTTTTTATTAGTATTATCATAATATTTATGGCATTTATCATAATCACTGTTATCAAATTTATCTTTATCACCCAAAATCTTGATAGACATCATTAGTTTCAATTTCATATGTTAAACTATCTGTATCTGTGAATAATAATTTAGCTTTATCACCATACCGATTTTTGATATAGTTGTAATGAAAATCATACATCAAAGTTTTACTTAAATCTAAGATACACATACCCACATATGCAGGTCTGTTGAGGGTTAATTGTTCTTTGATCTTATGCACAGCCACAAGGTTCTCATTGAAAATTTTACTACTTACATAAGTAGGTTTTGAAGCTAATTTTAATAATTTATTTTTATTAGTTACTAGTCTAACATCTACTCTTTTCGTAAGTTTTCCATCGTCTTACCAAAACACTGTTATTCATGAGTTTGAAGAAGTCTTTTCAAAAGAATTTTTTGCATTAGTTCTTTTTTGAGTATTAAAGTCTATGTATTTTTTCAACCATGGAGATTGATTAAATTCAAGTACTCTATGTACTTTTTTTAATTTTAACCCAAGATCTAAATATAGTTGAAGATTTCTATAATGTAAAACATATTTGTATTTATTTTGTAATGTAGGTATTAATTTTGAAACTAAACCTGTTGATATATTGTAATTAGAAGCAATTGTCTTACAATATTTTGACAGCATGTTGCTAGTTACCTTAATTTTTCTGGTGCTAGTGGATAATCGTTATGTAAATTATGTAGTTCTTCAGGGTATTCTAAATCAACTTCTAAAATTAAACCTTTTTTACTATCTTCTTTATATGTGGCTAAATTTATGTTGTTAATCTGTTTATCAGTTAACCATTTGAAATTGCCTGTAGGTAAATACTGACTCATAGCCCAGCCATAGAGATTATTAGAATCCAGATACATTATATATTTTGAAGGTTTATTCTTATCAAATGTTTTCATATACTTGTTATTAGCCTTACCATATCGGTTAGAAATATAAGAAATACCTCCTCTCATACCCTTTTCAATGAATTGAAACATGTCAATATCAGTCATTAATTCTAATTTAATATTTGTCATTTTAAGCATAGCATCCCAAGACAACCCGGGTGATGTAAAATAATGACATGGGTCTAAGTTATAATATTCTAAACATGTTTTCCTAAAGTTTTCAAATACATCAGCTAATAACAAAACGTCTGATTTCATATACAGGTCGTGGTACTCACCCATGTTTTTGAGATTGAATGTATTCCAAACATTTTGAGCATGATTATAAGAATCATCTGATATATTTTCATCAGTAAGAATACTATAAAAATCTTTTTTTGAAGGCAACTTCTCATCAAACTTTTCAAAGCTATCCATATAATCATATGGGTATATACCTTTTTTAGTCATTAAATTAAATTTTTCACTTTGAAACTGCTTAGAGGTGTATTTAAACGATTCTTTAGGTAGGTTATTAACAAGCTTGTCAAGACTAGAGCTCATAAATTGAAAACTATCAAGAAATGTTAAATGGTTACCTAACATGAAAGCCATATATTTTTCCATGTTATTAGGTATACAATTTATATTCATCTGCGTTTCCTCACCTTTTTTGTTTTTGTATGTATGCTTATTAACAATAGCTCCGATTTCTTGCATAATAAAATGGCTATCATATCCACGCAGATTGTGAAATATTACTGGGATCTTTAATTTATCAGGGTCTATTCTAAGTTTTAAATTACAATCTTGATGAGCCGACCCTCTGTATCTTCCAGTGATATGACAATGGTCTCGAACTCGAATATCTTTGTTAGTATATTTTTTGTTACAGATATGACATTCATCAGCTTTTTTAAATTCTTCTTCATCATCAGAGGTCATTTTTAATGGTTTATTAAAGTGGTTTTTCATAATATTTTTACAATATTTAACTTCTTTTAACATAGCTTCCATAAATTTGTAAACAGCCTTTTCACCTCTATATAGTTGAATTGGTTTAGTAAATTGATCATCATAACAACATACAACTTTATAACCATAACCACAGTCAGTGTGCTTCTGATAGGCTTCAGTGAATGATTTTTTATTATTCTGATTACAACCAGATATCTTTTCTGTAATAGCCTCAAAGTCTGAATATATGACAAATGGTACTGGTTGTTGCTTATGATAGTTGTTGAATTTAAGTATGTTATTATTTTTATCAGGCATTCTTACTGATTGTATACCATTTATTAGTATACAGTTTTCTATATGGTCATTTAATATTTTTTCAGAACTAAAACATTGAAGACAGCGCATACAAAAGTGTTTTCTTTCTTTATGCTTTGTTTGATTGTACATAAATTTATTAAAATCTTTTATTAATACATAATGTTTGTTTTCATTATCAGTTATCAATAGTAGTTCTATATGGTCTTCAAATTGTTCTTTTGATATGAATAATGGATATGGTTGTTTATCTTCATAACCGAAGACATTAATGTTAATTTTGTTTTGCTTTTCGATTTTATTATAATGTTTAACAGTCACTGGAAAATCAACTCCTTCATAATTAAGCTTTTCAATATATTGCTTATCAGATTTTTTTATTCTTTGTGGGTCTTTATTTTGTGGGTTAATATGTCTAATATGGCACCACCTAAAACATTCATTATCATGGTTTTTGATATTTATCAAACCTTTATTAGGGTTTTTAAGTTCTTGAGGTAAATTAATGTATGAAGACCCTTGCAATGGTTTGTATTTAACAACATTAAGATAATGATTATCTATATAGCGAATAACCCATCCAGAACCTTCTTGTGTAAATTTACTAATCTTATTTAATATATTTTGTTCTGAAATTTGTAGTGATTCAGTAATATTTTCATTATTTGTAATTGTTAAAGCTGGACTATTGAAATAAGCAACTTTTGTTAAATAACCAGCTGTACCACCATCTTTTATTTCAAATTTTTCAAATATTACCTTAAGCGTTTCAACAAATTTTAATCCTTTCATTGTTGTTAATATTTCTTTAATATAATATGTAAGATACTTTCTTGTGCTTTGCATTTGTATTAATGGTGCTTTATTGTTAATAATGCTTATTTCATATGATTTAGTGTATCCTTTTATAGCATTGTTTGTTTCTCTTATTTTAACTCTTTGTGTTGGTATTGGTTTTTTATTTTTATCTGATAGCATCTGTGTATTATTCTCATACTCTTTAACCATCTCTTTTACACTCGTTCTTGGTTTTGGGACTGGTGTTAATACTTTGATTAATTCGTTTTTTCTAAGTTTATAATAACCTTTAACCTTTTTTTCTTTAGCAATAACTTTTAACTGTTTCACAGTCATTTGTTTAATATTGGATTGTGATAGTACTTTTTGTACTGGTTTGGAAATTGAAGTATTATTAACTTCAACCCACGGCTTTTGATTTAATAATAACTTAATTAAATCGTCTTTAGTCAACTTTTGAAGTTCATCTTTATTCATATTAGGCATACTATATAAAATACTCATGTCTTTAAGTACTTTATGTTTTGGTTTATCTTTATTCATTTTCTGCATATTATATAATATAGGTTTGTCTTTAAGTACCTTTCGATTTAAATAATCTCTATTCATATATATACTATATATTTTATTTTTATTTTTAAACGCACTAATTTTAATTATAGAAATAAATCTATATTTAAAACTTTTTATAAAAATAATTAAATTAATCTATTTAACATTTTGTAGTTTTATTTTTTGAATATGTTTTCTAGTTTTAAGATGTAAAGTTTTATATGCTAAACTATATGTTTTATTACATAAATCACAATGCCATGGTTTTGAGAGCATATATAATGTCCTATGTTGTTTGATTTGTTCTTTAGTATAAATTGTTGGTCTTCCTCGTATTGGTTTATCTGAACACATATATACTAATACTATATATTTTATTTTTTAAATAGTTATTTAATGCGTTTAAGATAGATTCTAATAGTACCAGAAGCAGTTATATAAGGACCATATTCATATAAATCAAATTTTATAACATAAACATCTGTATCTATATTGTTGATTTCATATTTAAAATAACAATCATCCCATCCATGATCTTTATTAAACAAATCTTCAGTGATATGTGTAAACTGTGGTATATAAAAATCACTACTAATATTATATATATTAGGTATATAAAAATCACTACTAAGAGTATAAATATTAGATGGTTTAAATGTATTCAATATAACAGGTTCATAATCAATATTCATACTACACATCACCTGTAATATTTTTTTTATATTTTCAACATTATATATATCTTTTGAAAAAGATAACCACTCATTTGTATTCAATTCATAATATTTAGTTATATATCTATCAATATCGTCTTTATAATAAAGTTCGTACGTTAATGATTTAATATACATGTTTTTATCTTTCATAATTTCATCTAATAAATCTAAATTAATTTCATGTCCTTTAAATTTATATACATCTTTGTTTTTTATAACTTTTACCATTTTATATAATTACTATATATTTTATTTTTTTAAGGTGCGTTTAAATTATCTTTTGATTTATACAATGTTTTTTCAAAATCCTTCAAAACACCTTCTATATGAGAACTAGTTTTTTTACAACATAGAATAAAATTTCTAATCTTTTTTAATAGATCTTTAAGATTCATATATAATCATAAATGTTTTATTTCTTTAACTCTATCCAATTGTTATAATAAGTACAGTTAATGTCTTTATCCCATTCAAGAATCTTATATACTTTATTGAATAATCTATTATCAAAAATAAGTTTTGTTTTACTATTTTTCATATCTTTGATAGGGTGTTTTAATGGTATACCCCTACGGCTGGCTAAGCGTATTATATAATAGTTATACATGCTAATATTCTTTTTCTGTATCAACTTATGTTTAATCATAGTACTAACAACTTTTATAAAATCATTTGTAATCATCTCAACATATTCAAAAGGTACACACAATTTAAGTTTATTATAAAACCATTTTCTCCTTGAATGAACTGATTTTTGACATTTCCAAATTTCTGGTATCCATTCATTAACTATCTTATATGAGTGAACAGAACCACAGTTCTTACAAACATTCTTTGTATTATCTGAAATAATTTCTTGATTTTCACAACATAAGTATGTCTTAGCAGATCTATTAATATAACTATCACATATCTTTTTATTACAAAAGCAACAATTTACATAACCAAAAAACTCTTCTAACTCTTTATGAACAAATTCATTGCAATACATATATACTAATACTATATATTTTGTTTTTTAAGTAATTTTATATAATAAATATCCAGATATAATACCAATCACAACCATTGTACCAGATTGATAATTTTTCATATTCTTAGATTGTTTGTAAAAGTCATCTAACTGTGGTTCTCTATGAAATGTTAATCCATTGTAATGTATCGTTTTTACTTTTCTAAGCGCATCTAGAGCTCTATTTGTAAGTTCTATATCATTATCAGCATATTGAAGTTCTTGTCTTAACTGTTGAATTTTATCATGCTGTTTGACTTCATTTTCATAGAACGCTTCTTTAGCCTTTTGTAGTTTTACTAAAGACTCGTGGTATCTTTTCATTTCCTCAACGTAACCGTTTTTATCAAGTTTATGAAATAACCAACCTGCTAGACTAAATCCTAGGCCATTAACAACAGCTCCAAAAGCTGTTCCAACTCCACTAGTAATAACACTTGTCATATATATATTTATACAGATTTAAACGGATTCTCAGGGACCCATTTTTTATCCTGAGCATATTTAACTAGCATTGTTGATGTTGTAATAGCAATAGCTAATTTTGTAAAATCTTTAATATTATCAGTATCTGTTAATTTTTGACCTAGTAGTTTTTTAGACGCCATAGAAAGACCTACAGCAGTTGTTGTCACAAGCACTGCATCAAAAGCTTCATTCATAAATTGTTTCTTATTCATAGTATTACTCATATATAATAGGAAATATTTTATTCAAATGAGTCTAAATTATATTTTTTATTTTTTTGTATCAAAACATGTTTTTCACTAGTTGTTTCTTCTCTTGCTTTATCGTTTGTTAATTTTTCCTGTCTCTTATCATTTTTCCTTGTATAATAGAGGCTAGCAATAGCAGTTAATACTCCAACTGCTCCAAATAAGAATCCATAATTAATATTCCAACTATTATCCTCAATTTTCTTTTTATTTTCTAATTCAATCTTATTTCTCATTTTTTGTTCTTTAGCAACTTTCGATATAGCAGCTAAGCGTTTACCAGCTTCGACTCTAATAGGGTCTTTATCTTTCTTAACTGTAGTAATTTTTAGATTTTCTTCAGACATATTATATAATACTGTAGATTTTGTTCACAGATAACTCACAGACAATCTTATAGATAACTCACAGATAATCTTATAGATA